GCGTGCGTGCGTGCGTGCGTGTGTGCACGCCCGCGCACATGCCCGCCTTCGTCGGCAATGCAGTCGAAATGTTTGTACAGTTTTAACGATACTTCTCGTAGCGGACTAAGCAAGAAAATATTTTAGTATATTGTAAGTTCTAATCGAATTACGTTTTAGCGTATTGTAAAGTACTCGATGTTTTCCAAATTTCTTTTCACTTTGTATGTGTCCTTTTGTTACCGTTTGGATAAATGATTGAAAGTCTCCCGAATCTGGAATCTGCTCCGTGGAATGTAACTAGACATTTAAACAGGATGAATTTTTAATTAATTAAATACATTTATAATATTTAAGTAATGTATTATAAAATAGAGGTAAGGTAAAAAGTTATTAACATTGTATGGAAAAATTGTGACAAAATTATAGTCATTTGTAATATTATAGTGTTGTTTTATTGTGTGTGTGTGTCTGTGTATGGGCCCCATCCCCAACTCATACTCCGACGCGGGCTACTCCCTCTCCTCACGCACATCTCGTGTATTCTTACGATGTTCAGTCATCAAATCTGTGAACTTAAAACTCTGGGTAAGTATCTTTATGGTTTTTGGGTCTTAATCTGAATTTCAAGTTTGAAAATATTAGGCAAATAGTTTTGACCCTGGCTTTAACTAATGGTGGTATGACGAAAAGATGATATCTAAAAAAGAAGTAAATAGTATTTTTACAAAGGTAATGCGAATGTCAAATTTATTATAAAGGCAACACTTGTCTTTATAATAAATTTGACAAGTGTTGCCTTTATAATTGGTTATCAAACCATAAACATGTTTTTCATCATTCATTTTTATAGTCTTTGAGAATGAAACTTCAAGTTGCTTAAATTATAAATTTTATTTGAAATTAAATCGGTCAAAAATTGTATCAATTTTTTAAACTATTGAGAAACTATTTTGTATGTTAAAATTAGTTTTCATCGTTAAAATTCCGCCATAAACAAGTGTATTTTGATAGCTTTGTAACTATAGACAAGGTGAGCTGTCCGACGAGAGGTTCCGAAAAGATTGGTGGATTGCCTATAGAATCGGTGTGGATTGAGATGTCGGATATCGGCAGCGGTGACGAGGGAATTTCTAGTCAGAGTACGTATTTCTTTAAAGCGGTACAGCGTTCTAGTCGAGACGCTTTTTGTTTCGCGCCGTTTTAGTCAATCGTGTTGCTAACGTCTACTGTTGTGCTAACGTCCAAAAGTAAATATTTCATTGTTCCCGTTCCAAAATGGCGATTTCGGGTTTGTTATATCGCAAGTATTGAGGCCTCGAAGGGTTCCGCCGACGGAATCGTACGGCGGCAGGCGACGGTGCGGCGGCCCGCCCGGTCAGGTGCCACAGCCGGTGGAGGTTGACGATCTATCGATTTTTTGTGTGCGACCTCTCATCGGGCGGGCCGGTGAGGGCATCTCGCCGAGGCCGGAAGCGCCGCCTCGGGACCATCGCGCCGAGCTGCGGGCCCCTCGCTGGGCTGGACGCGGAGGGCGGCCGCGCTCGCCGGCACCATGGCAGGTCAGTGACCGCGCCTACGTCTGCTTAGTCTCGTCTTCCTCCCGCCGGCCTCACCGGGAGCGAGGCGATATATCGTCACCGCGGTGCATACTTGCGTGTTACGTGGAATTCGCGAAACATTCGCTCGGCGGAGCTACAGCTGTTCAGCTGTCAAGATAACCTTTATGTTGTGTTTCTTTGTTACCAGCAGTTGGAAGGTTTGGGAAACGCCAGTAGTGTAATGTGCCAGTGGCTATTATTGAAGAAAACAATTGTTTTATTGTGTAACAGTGCAAATTGGTTCACTTTTACAAGATAACATAACAGAGGACAAAGGATTTCATAATGCAAGACTGTCAGACAAAGGAAAGTGTTGTCTTTTTAAATATGCATTTTAATTTTAAATTAATGTTGCCCAAAACAACAGTCCATAAGTACATAAGAAGCCACTGGTAGATTTTATATTTGTTGAGCAGTGAAGATATTGTATTTGTAAATATGTCACCTTGGCTTGGGATCACACAGTTGGATGTCCTGTATTGACTGCAATATGACTGCAAAGAGGAGTTAAAATCTTTAACTGGTGATTTACATCAATGGCCTGAGGTCTTTGTGAAGGTATGTTTCAATAATTCTGACCAATCAGTAGCCATTCAATCTATGATTGAACAACCTACCAATTGGTCCAATTGTTATTTTATTTTTCTTCTTGGACTGATTGGTTATAGGAATTTAACACAACAACTGACATCTAGTAATCCCCAATTATAATGCAGCTAATTTTGTAACATTATCCTGCACTAATTATCAATGTTGCTATGGTCTCAACTATATCTGATAAATTTATAATTTTAAAAGCTGTAAATTGAATTTTAAAGCTAAGTTGATACTTAAGTTTGATGTATAAGTAACAGCAGGTGACCCTCGTAGCAGCAGCTTGTATGTAAACCGTTAACAAAACATTTTATGCTTTAAACATCATAGTTGCTTTTAGTTATCATTGCTTTGTTTGCTTTGGACTTTGGAAAACCATATAAGTGAATGTTCGGGGAGCTATATCATGTTGAATTGATCGGCCTGATTGACCCAATAAGATTCTTGAAGTTCTTGAATTTAGGGGGATCGTAGCCATACAATCAAATAACCCAATGGAAGAAAAATTCTCATTGGATTGATTGATGTGCCGATCGGCCCAACAAGAGACATTAATTCTGGTGTGTTATTGCCAAAAGGATGTGCATCCTTAAAAGTTTTAGATTGTCTTGCATGTAATACACTTGCTACTATTTTTTTTAAAACCCTAGAAGGTTGGAATGTCATACATATAGCTATATAGTATTTTGATATATAAAATAAAAATTGTGTGAAGAACAGCTCCAGAGCTGCCTCCCAGATAGATTAGAAAGCTCAGTATAGAATTAATATAATAATTGGAACTTTCAATTGATTTAAACAAACAGATCAGAACTTGAATTGTCCTCTCAATGATAAATTTTTTGATTGCTGTTGTAAATATTAATTATTAGATTCAAGTAAAATTTCAAGCAAAATGTTTAATAGTTGTCTCCCCTACTTTGTTCCGTGGAGTCAGCACACCGCAGTTGGTTAAAAGTTGTTAATTAAAAATATCAAATCGGAGGAGATAGTTTGAGATTTTTGGCAATGCAATCTTGTAAAGTTTGGATGTATATTTGAAAATATATCTAGAATAGCCGCTTAAAACTGAATGAAATATTGTGACATGTAGAACACTGTTTAGAAGAACAGCTTAGATTACTAATTTTTTTTATTCCACGCCAACAGATTCTTGGGCGACAACTAGCTTGGAAATCAAAAAAAGTGATTTTAAATTAAGTAAAACTAGATATTTTAAAAACATTTTATACTTAACTGGATTATATTATAGATTTAGTGACATAGACAGATTTAGTGGGAATATTTTACCTAAAAGATTGTCTGAATTATTTTTTAAAGTAGTACAAATGACAGATTTTCTGTAAATTTCACATTACACTGTGAGGTATTAACGTTAACTTGGCCTTACTTAAGGACAGTTTTGTATGGCTTTGTTTGTGTTATTGTAAATTGCAAAACTTGTGCCATTTGGCATGTTTTACAGTCTTAGTGCTACTCATTAGTTTCTCTGCATGTAACACAGAATGAAGACATTTTTCGTGTCTCCTCTCTCTCCACTTCCCTTGTAAGAAAAAGATGGGAAGAGATATAGGACTTAAACTCTCGCGGTATTCACACTCATCAGACGAAACGCGAAATTGCTATCACTTCACGCCTGTTCTTTGTGTGGTCGTGGTATTGCCGGGCAATCCAACTCATTTACGCAAAATATATTGCAGGTGGTAGGTAATTAATGTATTTGAATAAATTGATTGCGATTTTCGCGTTTACGCTCAATACTGTATTTATTTAATACATATTGCTCGTGATTCTGTCCATGTGGAATTCAAAAACAAGACAATATCTACCTATCTGTTCTTCCAGACTAGCCTTAACATCTATACCAAATTTCATCGAAATCCGTTCAGCAGTTTAGGCTATAAACTCTAACAAACATCCATCCATCTGAACTTTCGCATTTATAACATAAGTAAGGAAAGAAGTAAGATTTATCTTATTGTAAGTGGAGCTAAGAGCTTTATATGTTTTGTTTGCTGCAAATTAGAAACAAGCGAAGCAATTATATGTAGTAAACTATTTAATGTCGGTACATGAAGGCAGCAGACAGTCGGCCGAAGGATAGCTGCGGCGGTCGCGCTTTTTATTGCATTATGGCGGCCGCTCGCTCTCAAGGCGAAATGATAGGTTTCACTTTTTTGCGCGTCTGGGCCGCGTCTGTATCGAAACTCCGTCTGCTGCCAATGACCCGCCTTGAACCACTTACGTAACGCGAGTCTCGTCGCCTTACACGTTTTGTTACCGCGCATATCCTTGCCGCTTCGCATTCGGTTACAAATCTAGCGCCTTTTATTTAGTTTATGGTTTGTCCGTTCGCCTCCTCTCCCTCGCTCCTACGTCTTCAGACAAAGACGACGTGTCCAGGAAGCGGCGACTGAAGCTAGAACAAGATATTGCTTCGGCGCGCTCGTAAACTCCCAGTTAAACTCCAGCCTCGTTTACGTTTTTATGTCAACGGCTTTTTCTAATGTCTTGAAATAGATTTTTAAAGAATTCCGGCGATTACATGTTTATTTTGAGTTATAGTCACGCTTCGTTGAGCTTCGTTCATTTATGTTATGTACGTAGGTATTTATTCATCGTCAGCCTATATTCGTCTATTATTTATTCACACGAAGCTGTCGTTCGTATCAATGTGTTTGTCTATAATATAAAACAAGATTTATTCAGCGGTCAGACAAGTAGTAATTCAATTCAATATACATTCACTCGTATTCACAAAATATTTGTGGTTTCAAATATGACACAACATAAAGCAATGTCGCATATTTTAGCGGAACTTTTTTCATCAACTGTACAAACATTTTTGTTTCAAATAGAAACACTACACGACCTAATATTTCGTAAGGTCTGTTTTTCACGTTTTAATGACGAAGTAGAGATTAAATGTTTGTAAAGTTAGGAACTGAAGCATTTCAATGATTCGTTTTGTCATTCAGAATGGCTGCAGTCCGGCTTAGACGAGATTTATATGTAATTCCGTTTATCAGCGAGGTGCGACCGAGGCTGCACCCGCGTCGCCGGCCGCAACCGCCGCAATACTCTGCAAACTGACAGATATCCTTTATCAACACCGAAACACGACTTAACACTATCAATATAAATACTATGTTCGGAGTTGTACAGTTATATCATACTAATATTATAAATGTGAAAGTTTAGGTGGATGTTTGTTAGAGTTTGTAGCCCAAACGGCTGAACGGATTTCTATGAAAGTTGGTATAGATGTAGAGGATAAAACTGGAAGAACACAGGCTTCTTGTTTTTTTTTAATTCCAACTCGAACGGAGTTGCGGGCGAAATCTAGTTAAGAATATCGTTGTGAATGATTACTTATAATGTCGCTGTAAAATAACGCAGATATTTGATTTAATTCTCAATTAACCTTGATGAAAATGTAAAAACACAAAAAGCAGGTGTTTATTCAAATATCCTATTGAATAATTAGTGTGTTATATTTTATGGTAGGAATATGTGACAGCTGCACGCGCTAATGTGTTTTGATTGATTTTTACTTATATGTAGGCTACGTTGTTTTGAACAAGCATCTAGTCTTATAATAAATAATATCTAAATTAAAATCGTCCATCCAATAATGCTTTTGCTTGGAATAATATCGCATATCGATTTTAATCTTAACGAATTTAGGGTGAGTTGCACCATATTGCCGGTTACCGTTAAAGTTAATATTATTTGAAATGGTAATATTTGGAATAACCTTAAAATTTACTAAGGATGAGTTACATTAACTAACTATAAACCTTAACCAGCACATTCCCGATGGTTACGTCTTCGGATGTTCATGATATTCGCTACACCAGTTTTGCGCTGGTCAAAATGACGTCATATTTGACACTAATCATAACCGCCCGATTTTGGGCGGTTATAGTTAGCGTTACGGTTAGTGTCAGTTCGGTAGTGTCAACTGTCACAACCTCTTATCTTCAAAAGCACAAATAATGGAAAAAGTAATGGAAAAAGAAAATCTCTACTATTATCCTATACGTAATCCAGAAGAATAAAGTCTTGTGTGCTCGGAAATAATGGATTTCCAAGATGGAACTCGAAATTTGGCCAAACATTCAGTTTGGACAAATTTCGAGTGTCTAAGGCCATAGCAACAGCGCTTGTCCCTTTTCTCTTATTTAAATAAATGTCCTCCATAAAAGGTCAATTTATAATATGCATTGACAGGACAATTTATAATATGGAAAATAAATAAGATGCATTTATATTTGTATAATTTTATTGCTTCATTTTTGCTACATATTTGAGTAGTAAAGTAAATACAGTTTCAATAATGGCCCAAACTAGTTTATTTTCACAAGAGTTTGCCATTTTCTCCATCTTCGTGGGCAAAAAGTTTATTTCACTATAAAATACCATGCGTATGATACATAAATATAATCGGCGAAACATGAATTTCCAAACATTTTAATTTACGTAAATGTCATTCTTGACACTTTAGTGACATTCAGGTTTAAATGTTTCCATTGTAAAAACGAAAAACACATAAAACCTCTGTGAGAATATGTTTTTGCACTTGTAACCCTATTATAACTTTTACGATAACCAGCGATTTGATGCAACTCACCCTTAGTATTCGATATGGAGATCATCTCGTGTCGGCGTGAAATCTGATTGACCGTGTTGTACTGTGTCGTTCCGTGCTGCTGCTAGCTGGGGCCAGGTCGTAGCTGTACTGCTCAGAAAGATTGCTTTCTTATCTACGTTCAATTTACCGAAATACTCCATCGTAGATGGATGTCTTTTGGATCGCTTTCGATTAAATTATTTAGTTTTATGTACTTGTACAAAATACAGTAAGCATTGGAAGTCATCAGCAGGTAGGCGAGGAAGGGGCAGGACGTAACGAATGTCGGCGGTAACGAAGCAATTTCCTTCAGCGGTTAGCTTTCCTGTCTGTGAAGATCTGAGCTGTGTCTATTTAGAAATCATGATTATGGATAAAAGAACACGACAAATCTAAATCTATCAATAGGTAAATGTGATATGCTTTGGACTTTACGAGTGGAGTCACCACTTCTTAGGTCGACAAAATTTTCTAGGTTCATTTGTAAATTCTTATTTTCGTTTCCCTAGTCCGTATTCATTCTGTTATAGCTATTACGATGCGATTATACGAACAAGTCTAGATACATTTTGTGAAGGTTTTATTTTATACTTAATTTGGAATCATCGCTTTTTTATAAACGCAATCCACAAAAGCATTCCATGCAAAGTTGCAAACTGTGTGAACTTGCATTGTTCTGACTAGAAATCAAGAATTAAAAGTCATAAAACGTTAATATTTTCCTTACTATACAGCTTATCAAGAAAATTAAATTTACAATTGAATAATTTTATAAAGAATTGGGCAATTTTCGAACAGAATATATATTTGTCAAAATTGTCAAGGATATCGAAACAAGTTTTTTTTTTTTAAATAACATATGATTATATGAAATAGAGCAGTTGAATTTGGTTGAATATATCTAATAACCTTGCATATTATTTACATTTATTGAGCAGCGATGTGAGGAAGGCAGCGGACGGCAGCGGACGGCTTGCGGATTGATTGGTATGAAACGTAGCGAACGGAAACTGATACAGCTAGTATCAATTGAATATGTTTGCAACAAGTGGACCGGCCTTGAGCGGACTGACGACTGCGGCTTGTGGCTAGTGGCACTAAAAGTATGGACTGCATGCATCTGGCATGTGTGGACAGCCATCTGGCAACTGAAGATGTGGCGTGCTGCACGATGCATTGATTGCTGATATCGTCCATCGTTGCAGTGTCCGCCACTGTGGGACAACGCCACATGACAACTGTACTCAGCCACTAAATTATTCAATTCCATGTGTCGGTCGCGCCGTAGCCGAGGCAATCGTTTAGTTCTGTCGTCATCTAACTCGTGCAAAATTATGCAGCGGATTGTGTATGATAATATGTATTTTGCATATACGAAATATCCAGCAAAGAATGCGTTGCGTGCAATAAATTGTTATTGCGTTAATGAATCGCATATTGTTTCATTTACTGCCCCACCTCTACTCACTTTTTATTTCTAGCATCAAGAGTTTTAGGAATTAAAATTTTCTACTCTAGATTGGGATAATGGGAGTAATCTCTGATAGAATTTTAAAACTGGACTATGACTAGACAATAAAAATTTTGAAACGAATCCAATAGAACCTCTTTTAACTCATGTATTGTTACGTGTATAATTGATTTAGTGGTATGTTTGCAGAGTATGGTCAGAGTATGGACGCGGGAGGAAATAACTTCGACTCCGGTAAGTTGATATTCTTTTATTAGGTACTTGCTAGTTGTCTTTTAACGATTTGACGTAAATCGCGATATTTTACCAAATACAAATTCAATGTATAGAATTTTTTATTTATACTTTTTTATCGAGGTAAATAGATAGAGTTGCAAAAACGACCAAAGCCTTAGTTAAGGCAATTCAAACCGGATTCAAAATAAAGGCAATTGAGGATAAAGTCGCGATTTACATTTGATGTTACCACTTGAGTTTGCGAGATTACAGAATGGCTTATTTTATAGAAACCTGTTAGTACTAGCTGAAATTGATTAGATGTCGATTTTTGTCCTTTGAGCTATTTCCCTGAATAATGTTACCGACCCTTAGTAAATAAAATAATAAAATAAATGAGTGAAAATGGATGATTTCATCCATATGTAGGAGGGTTAAGGGCACTTTAGTATAAAATTTCATTAATCGTGTGGTAGTAATTGGTACACGGCTGACTGGCATCAGCTTGCGTCTGGGCTTCGATAATCGATACCACATAGGTGTTTCACTGCTTCGCTAACTCTCACAGGAATATCGTCCATTATTTATTTGTACGATTTGCCAGAGTTCGCATACGTTTCAATGTACATTTAATTTCAATAAGTGAAACTTTTCAACCAGTTGAAAATATGAATGTGAGGGTTGTGTCGATGCGTGCGCGTGCGCAGTGGAGCGCTGCGGTGGCGCTGACATCGATACGATTTCTAATCACGAGCCGTACTGTGAGGCCTCGCCTGTTGTGAAACATTGTGGACGTGTTGCACCGCAACGCCACAACACAAAGGTCCCATTTAAACATGAATATGCGCAGGTCACAGTAACTTCCAGGCAGTAGGCTCTGTATATCCTGTTGTAGTCACTGATAGGAACTAACCAAGCATTAAAATGCGTTGCCTGCTGTAGGGCTAATTTTAGGCCTTTACCCTTTCCACCCTCTTCTCATGAGGAAAGGATGGGAATGGACTTGACGGAAATATCCTCTTTATGTTCGTTTCCTCCTCTGTCCATTAAGGGTAGGCAATGAATCGGAGAGAATCAGAATTCAGGTGGCCGCTTGCTCGTTCACCAACTTATGATAAAAAATGCCTTGATGTTTGGCTCTATTACTCAGGCTTGTCTAAAACCTGACAGAAACCAGCTGTAACAAATTTATCTCTGCGTGGTTTTTGGAATATAAATATGTTGTTGTTGTTCGTGTTGCAGGTCAGTCGCAGCAGGAGCAAGAGCTGGCCACGAAGATGTTACAGATCCAGTCTAAGAGGTTCTACCTCGACGTGAAGCAGAACAGGCGCGGCCGGTTCATCAAGGTCGCAGAGGTGAGCTCGACTGAAACACATTACTACAACAAACATTGACACATTCATATCTGTGAAAAAGAATCTTATACAATGTGTCATAAAACGGTGTTATCTAGCCCTTTTATTTACAATCTGAACCTCGATATAAAGATGTTTACATCACTTAAGGGACAGTGTCAAAGTTTTAGACAAAGGATTACAATCCTTTATTGCAATCGTTGGCAGTAGAAGGGACAAACTGTCATATCTTGTATGCTATTACAACCATCCTTTACGACTCTAATAATGATGAAGGTAAATAAACAATATAACAATCCATTCGACTTAGGTTTGTCGTTTGACAAACAAATGTTGCATAAGCGGCGAGATAGCGCGCCTCGCAGATGGAGGATAACATATCGCCGCTGCGTTAATCAACAATTGTTACGTGTTCTTGCAAATATTCACTATCGAGATTTAATGTGAAGCCCAACGATATCTAGCTATTATCGGTGTATATTACGTCCATCGCTGTTTTTTGTGAATTAAAGTACGTTGGTAGTCTCGGACCATAGCGCAGGAACCGAGGGGTTCTGAATAAGAAATCGGTTAATGTTTTGTATGTCGACCTAATGAATCACAATTGCTATCAAAAAACGGCCATAGAAAATACCAATAGAATAAACTGAGCTGCTATTGATAGCTCTTAGAGACGTTTAAGAATTTTGTTCTCCCTCCGCAGCCCCTCGTTGGGATTTCGCATATAGTTGCTAGCGTCTATTCATTACAAGGACATTGCGAATCGAGGGGTCCTTTATCAACTTGTCTTGAATAAGGAATGTCGGAGATTGCCGTTTGTACGTACTTACGTTACTTCAAAAATTAATTGGTGATCAATAAAACACTGTCGGTCCGAGTTAAATTGTAATTCAATTATATTAGCAGCAGGAACAGATGCATACATATAGCATACAGACTGATGAATGAGGAACGTGTCGTGTGAGTCAGATCGGCGCGGACGGGCGGCGCAGCCAGATCTTCCTGGCGATGTCGACGGCGGCGGAGTTCCGCGACT